TATAGTTTCTTAATTGTATATTAAATAAATATTACTATTCACTTAGTTGAATGAACGTATAGCTCATTCAGTTAAGACATTTGGCCGCGTAGGCCCAGGTTCACATCCCGCTGTTTCACATATATTTCTTCTCTTTTTACTCTTTGCTGATATCATTTACCTTTAGAGAGATCTCTCGTTCTTTATAATAAAGTATTTAATTGTTTATCACACATCCTCTTTATACTTTTTAAAAAGAAAGGCATACTGTTTATCTGTTCATTGAGAGTCCAACTTAACGGGATTTTACTGTATATATATGTATATATTTATATATATATATGATATATATATATATATATATATATATATATATATATATATATATATATACATATATATACAGTAAAATCCCGTTAATGTATATATATATATATATATATATATATATATATATATATATATATATATATATATATATATATATATATATATATATATATATATATATATATATATATATATATATATAAAAGGTATATTTGTATAAACATTTGAAGAATCATTTGACAACATTTTTTTATAATTTTATTATTTATTATTTAAACTGTTAACAGTTAATATCTTAAATATATCGTAACATAAAATCTTTTGCGTCTTTTTCGTAACTGCACATTCCGGAATGCTCCTTCCGTAATGAACTATTTCGTAAGTATTCTTACGAAATGATTTGTTTCGCAAGTCTTCTTTCGTAATGCGTTATTACGGAATTTTATTTATTTATATTTTTGTATAGAGCGTTACGAAATGTGCATTTTCGCATGTGCAACTTCCGCAATAACAATTCTATTACGGAAGATAAAAATGCGAAATTTTCGTAAGTTTTGTTTTTCGGCGAACAACCCTAATATATACTTGTTTATTTTTTAAGAGTTATCAGTAATTTAAAGATAAACGAGTTTCTAATTTATTTTATTGAAATAATAAGTTTAATGTGTGCGTGTGTAAACAATGAAACATTTTTGATTTGTACTTCCATGAGATATAAATAAACAACACAACGGCAATATTCTGATTTAGTATACAGTCATTTTATTATTTATATCTCATCGAGAAAGTACACATTGAAGTTGTCTTTTTGTTTATTGTTATCATTTAAACTGTTTTGCACGCATTTTTTTATTAAAAAAAAAATAACAGTTATAACTGACAAATTGTTTCATAGATTCTAAAGTTTTTTACTTTTTATTACTTAAAAATATGCATAAAATTTAACTAAAACCCAAATCATATTTATTTTAATTAAGTTTAGAAGCTGTTCATTAATTACGTCAACAGTTTTAAAATCAAATTATATAAGAAAAAGAATAGCATTCGTTTAAACAGATTAAATACAACAAAAACAAAAAGGTGATTAAAAGAAAAATGTTAAAAGATTTTTTTCTAATTTTAACTTAAAAATATATTTCAACCAAAAATAACCATTCAAAAAAACAAGTTGCTCTGCCCTGAACAAAAAATAGATAAAAGTTACGGGTATAACAAAAAATTTAATAAATTTTTAATTTATGATCATATATCCGGTTTATAACACTACGACATATTCTAAACACAAGATTAAAAGGTTCATAAAAATGTTAACACCTAACACGTTTAAATGATGATCATATCTCTATAATGAATAGCCGAATGAATATTATTATTATTATTATTATTAGTGCGCATAGTTACGCATTGTTACGCCTATTGTTCGTTTTGTTAATTACGGTTCCGCATTATGTAAAATACACTATTTCTTTAGTTTTGAAGTTGTTTCTAACTTTTCTAAGCGCAGTTATATATTCCATGCGGTCTTTCGAGTAAAAGCAAGCAAATTGGAGCTGATGCACTTATTTTCAAAAAGAATTAATGTTTATTTTTTAAAATAAAAATTTAATTGTTAGTTTGTTGTTGCTTATTTTTATTTTTTCTAATTTTTATAGTCTGTTTTTATTTTTTAGAAGAAGTTAGAACTAAAATGTTTGGTAAAATAGCTTTTTTTTGTAAAATGTTTCTTTTTTAGTAAACTGTTTCATTTTGTCGTTAGTCTTTTTAGAATATTTTAAGCAAGTATTGTTTTATTTTTAAGGTAAGTTAAAAAAAGCTGATGGTTTTTTTAGAAAGTTCAATTCGTTTTGTTATTTATAGATAAAGATTGTTTTTTGCAAAAAGAATTATATATAAAATAAAGTTTTATATATGTATTTAATATGAAAAGTTAAATAAAATAAGACTGTTATTTGTGTTCATGTAAGCGTATATACATAAGTTTGCATTTATTTTAGTCTATTTTATTTTTCTCTATATCTATACTTTATGTATATTTTCTCTTAGCAAATGTTATTCAGAATAGAAAAATAAAAAAAATTGGTCAAAAGAATGTTGTGTTATGCTTCATTTTAAGGTATCTAATTATGTATTTATTTTTCATTTTTTAGAAGAAGTTAGAACTAAATTGACTGGTAAAATAATTTTATTAGTA